AGTCATTTTGTCCTTCCATCTGTTTTTTAGAGGCTTTCGCAGACAGGAAATGTGGAAGTGATTGAGCCTTCGTGCATGACTCCGATAGACAGTCCACGTCTCATAGGCGTACAGCAGAGTTGGAAGCACCAGTACTCGGTAGACCTTCAGCTTTTGTTGGTAGGCTGATCCCTCGATGTTCCCAAACGTTGGAGCGCAATTGGCCAGATGAAGAGCTGGCTTTAGCAATTCTGCAATTTACTTCATCATCGATTGACACTGCTCGGGAAAGGGTACTGCCCAGGTACGTGAAGTGGTCCACTGTCTGAAGTCTCTGTCCATTTACAGTGATGGACGGTTCTGAGTACGGAGCGTGGGGAGCTGGCTGGTGCATGACCTCAGTCTTCTTGATGTTAATAGTGAGACCGAAGTTGTTGCATGCAGTTGAAAACTTGTCCATACTGGCTTGCATTTCTGGCTCTGTATTAGCATTCAGAGCACAATCATTGGCAAAGAGAAAGTCTCGAAGTACAGTTTCCTTCACCTTGGTGATGGCACACAGTCGCCTCAGATTGAATAGTTTCCCGTCAGTTCTATACTTCAGGCCTACTCCTTCAGTGCAGTGTTGAAAGGCATCAGTCAAAGTGGCAGAGAATATCATGCTGAACAAAGTGGGTGCTAAAACACACCCTTGCTTGACGCCGTTGGTGACTGGGAAGGCCTCAGATGTTTCACCGTCATCCAGGACACAAGCCATCATACTGTAATGAAATTGACGTACCATTCGTATAAATCTGTCTGGACAGCCAAATTTCAACATGATCCTCCACAGGCCCTGATGACTGACAGAGTCAAATGCTTTCGTGAGGTCCACAAAAGTTGTGTAGAGTTCACGATTCTGCTCTTGACATTTCTCCTGTAGCTGACGCACAGCGAAGATCATGTCAATAGTCCCATGTCCCTTGCGGAAGCCACACTGTGATTCTGGCAGTAAGCCCTTCTCCAGGTGAGTGATCAATCGGTTCAACAGAACCCGTGGAAGAACTTTCCCTGCTATAGAAAGCAGCGAGATTCCACGGTGATTGTCGCATACCTGGCGATTGCCCTTCCTCTTATAGAGGTGCAAGATGGACACGTCTCTATATTCTTGTGGAATGGTTCCCTGCTTCCAAAATGACTGAAATGGCTTAGTGAGTTTCCGTAGCAGCACGAGTCCACCGACTTTGTTCACCTCTGCTGGTATGGCATCTGACCCTGGGGCTTTGCCACTTGACAGCTGATTGATAGCTTTCTTCACTCGTCCTCTTCTGGTGAAGTGTCCATGGAGTCATTGACTGCAACCTGGGGCATCTTGTCAATAGCCTCATCATTGATGACTGAGGGGCGATTGAGAATTGCTTCAAAGTGTTCAGCCCATCTCTGGAGAATCTGTGTCTTCTCTGTAAGGAGCACAGTACCATCAGAGTTCAGGAGGAGAAAGCTCCCAGAAGACTGTGGACCACAGAGTGTGTTGAAGGCTTCATAAAACCGCTTATAGTCGTTCCTGTCCGCATATGCCTGTATTTCATCTGCTTTGGCACTCAGCCACAAGTCCGGCATTTTGCGCAGTCGGTTCTGTACTGTTCTGTGAGCGTTGATAAAGACGGTCTTCTTTGCCACTGAGGATGGATCGTTTTGATATGCATGATGCAGGCAGTGCTTCTCAGCAAGTAAGACCTGGATTTCTGCATCATTTTCGTCAAACCAGTCTTGCCGCCTGCATGTGGAGGGCCCCAATACCTTCAATGCAGCTGTATGGACAGTGTTGCGGAATCGCTCCCAGTTTTTCTCAGCGTCATCCTCAATACGAAGATCATCAAGCTCATTCTCTAGGTCTTCCGCTAGATTTTCAGTGATGCGGCTGTTCTTCAGCTTCGACACGTTG